CTAAAAATACAAGCTGGAGTGAATTCCTCCGATTCAGCAGCTGGCGTATCTTTCAGCACAGCGAGGGGGTTTTTTGCCACCTAATCGCATTCTGAGTGCCAGATGCACAGATCCGTCTTCATTCCACGATGAAGAAGATCTATTTTCTGATTTGCCCAGGTGGAATAAAAAAGAGGCTGTGTGCATGTGATGAGATTTGGACAAGATTCTTTTGCGAGTCTCTGCTCCTCTGCTGCAGCCCACTCATACCCCCCTCCCTCCAGCATACTTTCCTGTTGACAGCTTTTGATTTGAGCAAAATTAACTTGTGTGGACCCAGAGCTGCTGAAAAATGGTTTCTCGGTATCAAGGGTTGAATGGCTTTTGAAACAATCTTGCGCGAGGCCCTTTGAAATCGACAGGAGTCATTCCCACCGTGAGCAGATCCTGTAAAGAGCGTGCTGAGGACCCCTTCCTGGCACCACAGAGGCTGAGATGCAGAAGGAGGCGGGGGGACTAATAGTGTAGGTGGTCCACCCACTGGAATAGCAGCTGGCTGAAGCAGGTCCCAGTTTAATGGGAGAATATGGGTGGGAAGGACAGATAAAGGTAAAGGTAAAGGGGCCCCTGACCATTAGGTCCAGTCGCGGATGACTCTGGGGTTGCAGTGCTCATCTCGCTTTATTGGCCGAGGGAGCCGGCGTACAGCTTCCGGGTCACGTGGCCAGCATGACTAAGCCGCTTCTGGTGAACCAGAGCAGCGCACGGAAACGCCGTTTACCTTCCCGCCAGAGCGGTACCTGTTTATCTACTTGTACTGTTGTGCTTTCAAACTGCTAGGTTGACAGGGGCATGGACCGAGCAACAGGAGCTCACCCCATCGTGGGGATTCGAACTGCCGACCTTCTGATCGGCAAGCCCTAGGCTCTGTGGTTTAACCCACAGCGCCACCCGCATCCCTCGGGAGGACACATACAGGTCTCTTAATATCTTTGGGTTCCAAGTTGTGTACATCAGAAGTCTCCAACATTTTGGGGTCAGGGGCGCATTTGGAGTGGTAGTCAACTGAACTGGACTCAGAGTAAGCCTATTGAAATTAATGGACCTAACTTAGTTCATTAATTTCAGTGGGTCTTCTTTCAGCAAGACGTAGCTCAATGCCACCCTTGGAATGTTGAGAAAGTGCTGTGGGTACCAGTCACAAAATTCATGGAGACGATGAAGGCACGTTTGAAGTTACTGGCAGGCATACTGGTGCCCACAGGTGCCGTGTTGGTGACTCCTGGTGGATCTCAGTAGCAGCCTTCCCAGGTGCTTGGAGTCGAACTCCCCCCAGTCCTATGAAACATGGCCAATGGTTAAAGATGACAGGAGTTGCACTCCAAATTATCTGTTGGGAGCCACCAGGTTGAAGGTTGCTTTGTAGGATAAAATGTGTGAGCTGGATGGCTGTGGTCACCTAGTCACCTAGTACCCCAAAAGCGGATTCATTTGCTTGAGAAAGTCAAATCTGAACATGCTCCAAAGCTCAGGCTGCTTAATCCAAGACAGATGCAAGGTTGATGCCTGTATGAACAGAGAACACAACAAATAAAACCCAGTGATTAATTGACATGGCCGCTGTTGTGTCTCTATGTTATGGCAGTGATGAGGATAAACTGTTATGGTGGAGCACATTTGTTGCTTGCAGAATGTGCCATGCTCAGTTTATGGGCTTCCCAGAACCATCTCGTTCAGTCCATCTACTGCCAGATGCTGAAGTAGATGGACTTCAGGTTTGTTAAACGGCACAGATGGAGTTCAGAGTGAATAGCCCTGATGGCACCTTAGCGAGCAAACTGAACAAAACCAATGAAGAGAAATAGGCAGGAAGTTTTTGCCTTTCTTACATGAGGCCTTGTACAGGACAGGGAGGTATTCAACCAAACATACAGAGGGGAAAAAACCTCCCTCAGAACTGCACAGCCAATCATGGTATGTACTACTCAGCAAGCACGACACTGTCTGGTTGCTAAGCAATACACCCACGCCGCTCCCTCTTGGTTAGCTGACTTTAACAGAATTAACCCTTAAGTTACAACAGGCATAGGCAAACTCCGCCCTCCAGATGTTTTTGGCCTACAACTCCCATGATCCCTAGCTATCAGGACCACTGGTCAGGGATGATGGGAATTGTAGTCCCAAAACATCTGGAGGGCCGAGTTTGCCTGTGCCTGAGTTACAACATGGAATGATCCTTGCTGTTCCACTTCCAAGAATGCTGGCCTCTTCTTACTGTACCTTCCATGAACTAAGGACTTATTCAACATCTCTGTAACCCTGCAGTTGAAATCTGGGTTCCAGCCTCACACCACCAAATGTCTTTCAAGCAGCTCTAAGTTTGCAGAGAGGCCCCAAAATACTAAGCCAGTGTCGGTGGCTGCAGTATTTGGCTCTCGGTGGGACAGATGAATCAACATTACTTCCTTTTTCCTGATTGTGAGTCTTCTTGGCAAAGGCCTATGATATCGTCAAGCCCAGGTGTGATCCCTTTTAATTTCCTGTAGGAATGATGAATCACTGAGTTGTATTTGACTCTGAAAATAGATATTTTTTTCAACGGGGATATTTTAGGTGAAGAAACAGGAAAATGTGCCGCTGCTCCCACAACCTATTATTAAAAAGCCAAGCGCACCATTTGGCTGAGCCGACTTGTTAGTCCATCACCTTCACTTTCCATGTCGCTTCACACCTTTGCATTAATCACCGGCAAGTTGCTTTTCTGACCGACATTTCTGGGCGCCTTGAAGCTTGAACTGTCATGAGCCTTTGCAACCAGCAACGAGGTCTGGATAACCGCTGTTGTCTTCTTCAGAGGGGTTGTTCCATGACAGATCACCACACCTTCACAACATCTGTGCCGCTGGCTCTCAAACTTTGGGATTGTTGAAATACATGCAAAAAAATTTTTAAAATCAAATTGAGTCATCTGACTCAAATTTGGTCTAGTAGACCCAACATTTTAAAGCAAGATGGGCTAAAGTAATTTCTGGAACCACTCTGGGATTAGGAGCCCTGAAGCTTAAACTTCATTCGTTTCACCCTTGCTGACCAATAGCAAGAGATCCGAATGGTACAAACTTCACCAGAAAAAGGAAAGATATCCCTGCATGTCCTTTACGCTCTACGTGGGGCTACCTTTGAAGGTGACCCGGAAACTACAACTAATCCAGAATGCGGCAACTAGACTGGTGACTGGGAGTGGCCGCCGAGACCACATAACACCGGTCCTGAAAGACCGAATTGGCTCCCAGTACGTTTCCGAGCACAATTCAAAGTGTTGGTGTTAACCTTTAAAGCCCTAAATGGCCTTGGTCCAGTATACCTGAAGGAGTGTCTCCACCCCCATCGTTCTGCCCGGATGCTGAGGTCCAGCGACGAGGGCCTTCTGGCAGTTCCCTCATTGCGAGAAGCAAAGCTACAGGGAACCAAGTGGAGGGCCTTCTCGGTAGTGGCGCCCGCCCTGTGGAACGCCCTCCCATCAGATGTCAAAGCGATAAACAACTACCTGACATTCAGAAGACATCTGAAGGCAGCCCTGTTCAAGGAAGTTTTTAATGTGTGACATTTTAGTGTATTTTTGGTCTCTGTGGAAGCCGCCCAGAGTGGCTGGGGAAACCCAGCCAGATGGGCGGGGTACAAATAATAGATGATGATGATGATTATTATTATTTTCATGCTCCTAGTCCTCATGGTAGCAGAGAGAGAGAGAAAGGGTGTGTGCCTTGAAAATATACAGGGAGCATATATCCATGCAAGGATACTTGACTTTTGTAGGCAGCCTAGAACTTTTCAGGGTGTACCTGCTGGAAGGGGAACTTTGCATAAAACGTTATTCTATTTGTTTATATCACAGAGCTGTAGGATTCTTAGCTGGAAGCCATGGCTGTTTAAAATGGCACGAGACTGCTTTAAATGTACGGCACAGATGGGGCTTCAGAAAGGTCCAGAGGGAGAGAAACTAAATGTTCATCCTGCATCAATGCCCAAGTTAGTGTTTTCCCCTCTAAATTTAGTAAGTTTTCAAGTGTGTTTAAAGGGGTAAATTCCGGTAGAGTGGCAGCTGGAAATGAAGTGGATTTCCACACACCCCCTTCCTGAGTGGTCAGTTGATTTGTTTATTTTCAGTGGGATTTCTGAAGTTGGTTGGGACTAGGGATGGGGGAGAAATTCTGACTCAGTTTGCATTTAAAGGCGAACCTGCTTAATTCACAGTTTCCGAAACCACATGAAAACCAAGACGCAACCATCCTTCAAAATTGTTCAAATTTTACAGAACAAGTTCTCCGGTCAAGTAGCATGTACAAGAATGCATATACTGGGGTAAAAGAGGGGAGCACAGGAACACACACATTAATGAAAATAAAGCATAATCATGCATTATATTAGGGAGAATTGTTTTGCAAAAAATGTGTAGGTTAGGCAAAATTGCAAAATTGTGTATATTAGGGGAAATTCGCAGTAAACTGCTGATGAATTTTCATGAGGACTATTTTAAAAAATTGCAATCTGATATAGAAATGTGGAGAAGTTGAACTTCAGACTGGAAAAATGTGAAACCAAGATAAGCCAAAATTGGCAGATGTACCCATTCCTGCTTGTTCAAAGGAACTTACAAGTGGAGACAACGGCTGAAGAATCAGAACCCAAAAAGTCAGCGAGAAGCAACCAGTGCCAGAACTGATAAATGGAATGACCCCTCAGACACTTTGGTCTGGCCACTTGACTTCTCCCAGCAAACGTAAAGAGGGAGGAAGAAATGGCCAAGAAATATGCTTTGCACTCATATTTTTATAGCTGGTTCCATTTCAAAAACATGGCGGCCCATTGAGGATGCACCACCCATCAGTTATAATTGGTTGATTCATGGCAAAAGAGTATCGACAACACCTGGGATTTGCTGATTTCCCCTGTTTGTTGAATGTATGTTGACTTGCAGGAGCTCTCTGGGATTTCAGAAAGGAGATTTCCCCTGCCCTATCTGGAGATCCTGGGGGTTCAACCTGGGGGCTTCTTAATTTAAATCAGATGCTCTGCCACTGAGCTACACCCCACCTCCAGTTTGATGTCAAAGGAGCCAGAGAACCACCCTGAAAACAGGGGAATAATAATAATAATAATAATAATAATAGTAATAATTTTATTATTTATACCCCACCCATCTGGCTGGGTTTCCCAGCCACTCTGGGCGGCTTCCAGCAAAATATTAAGATACAACAATTCATCAAATATTAAAAGCTTCCCCAAACAGGGCTGCCTTCAGATGTCTTCTAAAAGTCAGATAGTTGTTTATTTCTTTGACATCTGGTGGGAGGGTGTTCCACAGGGCAGGCGCCACTACCAAGAAGGTCCTCTGCCTGGTTCCCTGTAACTTTGCTTCTCACAATGAGGGAACTGCAGGAGGCCCTCAGTGCTGGACCTCAGTGTGTGTGCAAATCGATGGGGGTGGAGACACTCCTTCAGGTATACTGGGCCTTTGAGGCCATTTAAGGCTTCAGGTATACTGGACCAAGGCCGTTTAGGGCTTTAAAGGTTAACACCAACACTTTGAATTGTGCCTGGAAGCGTACTGGGAGCCAATGCAGTTCTTTCAGGACCGGTGTTATGTGGTCTCGGCAGCCACTCCCAGTCACCAGTCTAGCTGCTGCATTCTGGATTAGTTGTAGTTTCTGGGTCACCTTCAAAGGTAGCCCTACGTAGAGCGCATTGCAGTAGTCCAAGCAGGAGATAACCAGAGAATGCACCACTCTGGCGAGACAGTCCGCGGGCAGGTAGGGAAGAACAGAAAGTGCTGCTCTACACCGATTTCAGACCATTAGTCCATCAAGCACAGTATTGTCGACTCTGGTGGGCAGCTGCCGTCCATGATTCCAGGCAGGGTTCTCTCTCAATCTCACCTGGAGAGGCCGGGAATTGAACGTGGGGCCGGGAATTGAATGTGCTCTGCTGCTGAACCACAGTGCTTCCCCTAGTGGGTTGTCTGCTCTTTTTGCAGACTCAAACTTTTGAAAACATCTCGACTTTCAAGATGAGATGTGGTGGCATCTTTTCATCTTAATGAGGCTGGTGGCAGAGTAGCTGCAGCAGATGTTCTTTCCCTCCCCTGCATCAGCCTCCAGAAATCACGGTGACAGGCAAACGTCACACCTTGAAAGTATTGCATATGACAAAGCGGCCCGGGAGCAGGTGGGCAGCCCTGCTTATTTGTTTTCGCTGCACGCCAGGAGAGAACGGAGGCCACTCTTTGGAGACGCCATTCGAGGCGGCTGGCGCTGGATCCTGATTGATTATGACAGGAGCAATATGGAAGCCTTGAAGGGAATCTTCTACGGGAGTGTGAAATTCCATTATGTGGCATGCACCTAGACTGATGTTGATCTTATTATAATTATTAATCATATCATTATTCAAGCATTAAATGGCATCACCATTATATCATGCTAGAAGAATGTACGTCTTATTATTATTATTATGGAAGCTTGAAAACTGCATATAACAATATTTAGCATTTTTGTGTTCAAGCATTAAATATTATTATTATTATATGCATTTCAAGCATGAAATAGTATTATTTTTAATACTATGCTTAAAGACTGTATATATGATTATTATGAATGCTTGGAGATGATATATAATAATACTATTTCATACTTGAGTTCGGTAGAATAATAAAATTCAGTGCCTGATCTGTGTATTCAATGACTGAATGTCTGAAGTGGCTGGGGAAACCCAATCAGATGGGTGGGGTATGTATGTATGTATGTATAAATAAATAAATAAATAATAAAGACTGGTGATGATAATGAAAAAGATAATAATAATAATGGTAATAAATTTTTGTAATTCTGCAACCAGAAAATAGAATAAGAAGAAGAAGAAGAAAAAGAAGAAAACGAAGAAAAAGAAGAAGAAGAAGAGAGTTTTGACTTGATATCCCGCCTTTCACTCCCTTTAAGGAGTCTCAAAGCGGCTAACAATCTCCTTTCCCTTCCTCCCCCACAACAAACACTCTGTGAGGTGAGGCTGAGATAAGTGTGACTAGCCCAAGGTTATGCAGCAGCTGCATGTGGAGAAGCGGGGAAGCGAACCCGATTCACCAGATTACGAGTCCACCGCTCTTAACCACTACACCATGCTGGCGTAATAGAATTTTAGTCCATTATTAAATGTACATGGCCACCTCTCCTGGCCATCTTACAACAAAACAACAATAATTATTACAGAGCCACTGCCAGTCAATGGGTTGTATATGATGCTGGTCATACTCAAGAGTAGACCCACCGACATTATGGACCTGACTCATTTAGGTGCATTAATTTAAATGCCTCTGCACTGAGTAATATAGCTAGTACTGGGCTAGATGAGCAAATGGTCAGACTCCATTAAGGCAGCTTCCCTGACTGCCTTGCAGTGGGATCACATGGTACTGAGCCAACCACTGGTCCATCTCACCAAGGCCATAGCTCAGTGGTAGAGCAACTGCCTTGCATGCAGAAGATCCTGGGTTCGATCCCTGACATCTCCAGGTAAGGTTGGAGACCAAAGCCCTGGAGATCTGCTGCTAACCAGGGTAGACAATACTGAACTAGATTGACCAATGGTCTGACTCTGCGTTCCTAAATGGCAGCAGCACTGCAGGGTTTTGGGGACTTTCCCTGCTCTGCCTCCAGAATTTCTTTTAAGGAGAAGTGCTGGGAAGTGGATGGAGATCTTTCTGCATGAAAATATGTGCTCTGCCCCTCATCTCACCTAACACAGGGCTTGCTTTAGCGAGTTACACTTAGTTCCTCTCGACCCTAAATGGCTCACTGAATGTGGCAAGGAGTGCTCTTTAAAAGCTCGTGAATACCAATGGAAGGATGTTTAGCATCATGGTCCGATAAGTGTTCTTCCCAAGCTAGCCAACCGAGCAGCAGCAATTATTATTACAGGAAATCGAAGTTTCAAGGAGACAGGTTGAAAGACAGACACTTAGATCATGCAGGGCTATTTTGTGCGTGCGACAACAGCAATCAATATATCAATCATAACCAAATAATATTATGTAGGCACCTTAATCGTGCTGCTAAAACTTTCCTGTTTAGGCACATCTACCCAGCCATGTAATTGGATTATCTTTATTGTTTTTAAAACTGCTGATTTTATCTAGGTTTTGATAATTTTATTATGTCTACCTGGTTGTGTGTGTTTTTTAAAAGGTCTCGTTTTATCAGTGCTTATATATGATATTTTATGTAAACTGTTTAGGTTTTTTTAAAATAAAAATTAAAAGTGGTATATAAACCTTGTTAGATAAAGTAAGAACGTAACAAGAGTTAATGACTCATCTACTCCAGCATCCTATTCTCACAGTGGCCTCTCAGATACCTGTAGGAAACTCACAGACATCACCTGAGCATAACAGCACTCTTCCGTCCTGTGGCTCCCAGCAGCTGGTACTGTACAGTGGTACCTCGGGTTACAGACGCTTCAGGTTACAGACGCTTCAGGTTACAGACTCCACTAACCCAGAAATAGTACCTTGGGTTAAGAACTTTGCTTCAGGATGAGAACAGAAATTGTGTGGTGGCAGCATGGCAGCATTAGCTAAAGTAGTACCTCAGGTTAAGAACAGTTTCAGGTTAAGAACGGACTTCCAGAACGAATTAGGTTCTTAACCCGAGGTACCAATGTATTCAGAAGCATTACTGCAGAACTAGGCATCATTGATTTATTTAAATTTATAAATTACTTAATTGCAACTCCCTCACCTCTCAAAGCGGTTTACAAAAAGACTCTTGACTTATATCTATAATCAGTCAATCAATCAAACAAACAAATCTAGTCCATCTCTGATCCATATCTATTTTGCATGTGTTTGGTCCCATTCCCCAGGTGATTCAGTGAATTGCTAAAAAAAAATTTCATTTTAAAGACACCCAAGTCGGTGGCCACCACTACAACTTGTGGGACTCAATTGCATCGTTTAGCTTTGCAACATATGAAGCGCTGCTTCCTTTGGCCTGCCTGCACACTCCATCTTCATCTGATGTTCCCGAATTTTACTGTTAAGAGCAGGGCCGGAATTAGGTTTGATGAGGCCCTAAGCTACTGAAGGTAATGGGGCCCTTTATTTGTCCAGCTGTCCTTTGCCAACAACAAATTGTCACTGTTTTTTTGTATTGAATATATGCTATATGGTAATTTATGGAGCTAATATTTGCCATGCAACCAGTCCATGCAGAATGTAGGCACCCTATATATAGAAATGAGCAAACCAGTGATATTTTAGGGAGCAGGCTAGGAGGCCTACACAACACAAAACACTGTTGCTGTATGTAGGTTTTATTTTATTTCTTTTTTCCTTATATTTTGAAAATGTACATCCAGTTTTTCCCCCTTTAATTTTTTTTGGGGCCCCCCAAGAGAGTGGGGCCCTATGCTATAGCTTGTTTAGCCTATACATAAATCCGACACTGGTTAAGAGAAAACAGAAAAGCTTCTCTCCATCTCATTTCCCCACAATGTCAGTCTCTGCTAAGCACTGTGGTCAAATTTAAGAGGGGCAAGGGCAGCTAGTTTATGGAGCTGTTTAGAACCCTCTAGTTGTATTCATGACTTAGTTTTGTCCGAGGGGGGTGGAAAAAAAAAAAAACCCTGCGTCTTTTCCAAGTGGCTACATACCAGGCCACTGGAGTTAAGTGTGTGTGGGTCTTGCTGGGCAAGCTGTAGGTGGTCCTTTTGCTAGTTAAAACTCACAGCCTGAACATACAGATGTATACTAATAGAGTTCAGCTAATCTCCTGAGCTGTTAGGAAGATAATTGGTTGGTGATCTTTTCAGGAAGGGTCAAACACATTACAGCGCAAAGCCTTCGCTCCCAAACTTTTGAACGATCACAGGGATTCTGTACTCCTTGCCCCCACACGCCATAAAACCGACACGGCCGGTGCTACTGCAGAGAAATCCTCTTGGCTTGGGAGGAACAGCTTGCCTTTTGAGATCTGGGCCTCAGGTGCCTTTTCTCCTTGGACCCAGATATTCGTAATCTTTATGGGAGGGAGGACATAGGAAAGAATGCAAAGGTGAGCCATTTTTTGTGTTTTATTCATTATTATTACTAGGTTGCAAATTGTTGATTTTGCTCCCAGACCAAAGGTCCTCCAAAAGGGGTCTGCAAATGTTACAAAGGAAAAATACAATGAAATGACAATGTCAAAATCATATAAACATTAGGGCTTTTAAAAACCAAAAGCTAATAGAATAACATTTAAAAAACCTCTACCAGCAAAAATATTGAGTGGTATTCAACTAAGTTCTACGCAAAGTAGACCCACTGAAATGAATGAACCTAAGTTTGTCATGCTCATTAACAACAATGAGTCTACTCTGAGTAAGGCTAGAATGGGATGCAACCTATTGGCACCCAGCCTAACCTCAATGAATCACAACAGTGACCTCATTTCCACCTCCCTCAGATATATGACTCATGGCACATATCAGCCTCCTGCTAATGTTTCCTGGCTTCAGCGTTTGACCCAGCCCTATCGTTAGGTAGAGTGAGCATGGCCCCTCAGTCTGAAAATGGTTCCCTACACCTGGACTACATGATTGCAGCCTCATTCATCCAGCAACTCAACCCTTCCCTTCCCTTCTCTTCTCTTCTCTTCTCTTCTCTTCTCTTCTCTTCTCTTCTCTTCTCTTCTCTATTTTCCTTGTCAAGAGGCTCTAAATCAAGAACCCTTCTGAATCTCACCATACTTGAACCTGCCCTGATGCCTATTCCCATCACTATTTTGACAGTCCAGTTACAGAGTATGTCCCAAATGTCCCCCCTCCACCCCAGGCAAGGACTATGCCACTTTTAGATACAATGTCTACTGGTAATAACATGAAATAGCAGTAGTAGACTTCTCTCCACCCCCCGCCCCGCCTCACCCGCTCAAGAACATTTTGCAGAACAAAGAATATGACCGGCATATTCCCAGTGCAGACTCCTAGCATTTTGAATTTCCCCCCTACAAATAGCCACCACTGCCCAAGCTACAAGAATATTGTCAAAGGGGAAGAGAAGAGCAATATATTCAAGCATCTCTGGTTTGCCTTTGGGCTTCCATTCTGCAGCATATTGGACCCGTTGTCCTTCATTCCAAAGCAGACTTAGCACAGAAGGTAATCCAGCTCTGATCTCTTCATTTATAACACTGCCTATTGATATAAATAAAGAGATGTGGGCCAGATCAGCTCCACTGAGCGGGTGTTCTGGATGGAAGATTTTAGCCTGAGTCAAGCTTTCTTATTCAACCAAAGCCTGGTGTTATGATTTCTGCCTTTCCTGTTTCACCGTCCACTGTGGAGCCACAACCATAGACTCATTAGTTAGCTTTTTTTCTTCTCCCAGTGCACAGATTCAGCCATGGATTCCCCTGCCCTTTCTCTTTACAAGGTCACCGGCCCCTTTGTAGCCTGACATCGCCTTCTGTTTGATTTGATTTGGGTTTTTCCGCCTCTCTTCCCATTCCTCCCTTTTCTTTTCAGCTCTGCTTCGGAGCAGACAGTGTCGCTTGAAAGATGCAGAGACCTTTCCCAGATGGGAAAGGTCATTTGTCTTTCGCTACTCAACACTTTCCTTCATGAGTTCATTTAAACACTGCCAGACATTACAGGAACAGAACTCAGCTGGAGGGGTTATCTTGCTGTTTAAGTCACTCTCTTTTATGTAGGTGGCAGAAGGAACTGCAGAACAGAACTCTTTGGTTCCCATAGCAATTGACACGGCGGGGTTGCCATAATAATAATACTTGCACACCCCTCCCACTCCTCTCTCCACCTGTTAGATTTCGTTCCCTCTTTCCTGATATCATACCTTCCAACATTTGTTGGTTGCGTAAGAGGGTAAACAAGTGTTCTGACCAGCAATTGTTTTTAAAAGGGGTCAGTTTGGACAGAGCAAAGCCTAAAGGAGGGATGTCAAAGAATTCAGAAATGGGAGAGGAAATGGCTGATGTTTGCTTATTTATTCCATGCCTGAAATAGAAACCAATCCAGAAAATAAAATCAGTGTTTTTCTGCTGTTGCTGCTTTCAGTCAGCAAACGATAACCTAAATCAATTGTTCTAGTTACAGGTAGGTAGTCGTGTTGGTCTGCCATAGTCGAAACAAAATAAAAAAATTCCTTTCAGTTGCCCCTTAGAGACCAACTAAGTTTGTTATTGGTATGAGCTTTCGTGTGCATGCACACTTCTTCAGATACACTGAAACAGAAGTCACCAGACCCTTATATATAGTGAGAGGGTGGGGAGGGGTATTATTCAGAAGGGTGGTGGGAATGGGTGATGGCTTACTACACCTATCAGCCAATCACCCATTCCCACCACCCTTCTGAATAATACCCCTCCCCACCCTCTCACTATATATAAAGGTCTGGTGACTTCTGTTTCAGTGTACAATGGAACCTCGGGTTGCGGACATAATCCGTGATGGAGGCACATCCGCAACCCACAGCATTCGCATCCTGAAGTGCCGTGTCTGTGCGGGCGCCCGCGTGATTTGCTGTTTCTGCGCATGTGTGAGCACGAAACCCGGAAGTAACCCATTCTGGTACTTCCAGGTTTCCCACAGTCCGCAACCCGAAAACACGTAACCTGAAATATCCATAACATGAGATATGACTGTATCTGAAGAAGTGTGCATGCACACGAAAGCTCATACCAATAACAAACTTAGTTGGTCTCTAAGTTGCTACTGGAAGGAATTTTTTTTATTTTGTATCGAATAAATCAATTGTGTTTCCCTCCCTGCTCTGCACTGTTTCCTTTGCACTGAAAGGAATGAGATGGGATAATGTAACTTACATAAGTGACATAATTTCAACACAGCAGACAGCGAGACGAGTGATGCAGTCTTTGGAGGAAGATGAACTGCAGCTGCATGGAAGCAGTTCTGTGTGCATTGAATACAGGACAGAATGGAAAGCAATGCCTTCTTACCACTGAGCTCCCTCTTTTCTCTCCATTTCCTTAACAAGAGCCCTGCTGGATGAGGCCAAAGGCCTATGTAACCCAACATCCGGTTGGTCAACTAGATGCCAAAGACTGTGACAACAGACATCATTTAATTGTTTGAAGCCTCTTTTATTTACATCTGTTTTATTCCACATGCTATGCTTGCCTTGTTTCTTGTTATTATTATTTTTCAGTCTTGCCAACCTGGGATCCTTCAGATGCTGTTGGGGTACAACTTCCCCCAGCTCCAGTCATGGAGTTGTAGTTCAAAGTATCCAGACAGTTACAAGTTGTGGAAGGCTGCTCTAGCCCAAAAAATAAATGGGTGGGATGTTCCCTTTATGTCCCGCTTATGGGCTTCCTGGGGGCAGTCAGCTGGGAACATTTATCTGAGCATATACTGCCATTTTATTTTAATTCTCAATTTATGCAGCTGTTGCATGTTTTATGTCTAAATGGAATTAATAACATTTGAAAACGAAAAAGAAATAAACAAACTTCTAGCCACATGAGCTGGAAATACAGAGCGTATGCTAGGGGTGGAGAAGCTCTGGCTGCTTGGAGAGCCAGTGTGGTGTAGTGGTTAATAGCGGTAGTCTCGTAATCTGGTGAACCGGGTTTGCGTCCCCGCTCCTCCACATGCAGCTGCTGGGTGACCTTGGGCTAGTCACACTTCTTTGAAGTGTCTCAGCCTCACTCACCTCACAGAGTGTTTGTTGTGGAGGAGGAAGGGAAAGGAGAATGTTAGCCGCTTTGAGACTCCTTAAAGGGAGTGAAAGGCGGGATATCAAATCCAAACTCTTCTTCTTCTTCTTCTTCTTCTTCTTCTTCTTCTTCTTCTTCTTCAATCTTTGAGTGCGGGGGGTGGGATCCAATTTGGCCTGCAATGCCATTTCCTTCCCAAACCATGTCTACTTCTCAGTCAGCTGACATTACAGGGTGACGTCAGCTGATGCGCAGAGGGAAAATGTAACTCATTGGTGAAGAAGACCTTTGCAGAGAGCAGGATCAAACCTCCTGCTCATCAGCTGATAGGACAAGAGTTGCATTCAGCTATGTGCTGCTTTGCCCGTGGCACCTGCCCTGTGGAACGCCCTCTCATCAGATGTCAAGGAAATAAACAACTATCCGACTTTCAGAAGACATCTGAAGGCAGCCCTGTTTAGGGAAGTTTTTAATGTCTGGTGTTTTATTGTATTTTTAATATTTCGTTGGAAGCTGCCCAGAGCAGCTGGGGAAAACTCAGCCAGATGGGCGGGGTATAATAATAATAATAATAATAATAATAATAATAATAATTTTCTCTGTGGGCAACATGCTGGTGGAGCAGACTCCTCCTCGGACACTATTGGTCAATGATGACAGGCAGGTGGAACCTTCCATCAGTTACTTGACATCATCATGATATCAGATGACTGATAGGCAGGTGGCCTCAGCCGCCTGTCACAGTTGGCTTGTTGGTTGGTTGGTGCACCCCTGTCTTGCATGGACTTGCATGGTAGTTAGTATAGAGACCTCAATAGTGCCTCTCCATGTAAAGTATGAATGGAGACACATTCACAGCAAGTCATAACCCAGGGGATCTCCAGCTCCTTTCTTGCAAGTGTGAAAGATGACAGAGCCTTCCCTATATGCTAGGCAAGGGATGATGAACCTCTGGCCCTCTAGATCAGTGTTTCTCAAACTCAGGCCTTCAGTTCCCATAATCCCTAACCACTGATACCTAGGATGATGGGAGTTGTAGTCCAACAACAGCTGGAGACCCAAGTTTGGGAGATACTCCTCTAGATGGACTCCAACTCCCCAGGTACATGGTCAACAGTCAGGAAAGATGGGATACAGTTGCTGGCTGAGAAAATGTGCAAAAACACATTTTAAAAAATGAAATTGCAGTATCTATCTATCTATCATCTATCTATCTATCTATCTATCTATCATCTATCTATATCTATCTATCTATCTATCATCTATCTATCTATCTATATCTATCTATCTATCTATCTATCTATCTATCTATCTATCATCTATCTATCTGTCTATCATCTATCTATCTATCTATCTATCTATCATCTATCTATCTATCTATCTATCTGTCTATCATCTATCATCCATCTATCTATCTATCTAATCTATCTATATCTATCTATCATCTATCTATCTATATCTATCTATCTATCTATCTATCTATCTATCTATCTATCTAACATCTAACATCTATCATCTATCATCTATCATCTATCATCTATCTATCCCTACACTGCTCTAGATACATATTTAAAAATGAATTTATTGTGAATTTCTTTTACTGTTCAGTTGGAAAATGGACATAGACATGGAACAAACTGATCCCTCTCTCCCTGGTCCTGAAGTGGACAGATTATTAATTAATCTCTCCCACTTGGAAGATGAATGAGTGGCGAGATAAGAGAAGCTAGCCTGATCCCCCGCCCTCACGCCTGCCTGCGGTTCTCGATCCAGAATTAGTCATCTAGATTAGTCATCGTGGGGCTTATCTTGCTGCTTGTGTGGCCCAAGCAGAAACACAGGGAGCCTGATCCCACTCAGATATCAGGAGGACACACATTCAATGTGTCAACCAGTTAAAGCCATTCCTTGAAAGCATCATTAGCTGTTCCTTCTCTATCTGGCAGTATCTTTGGGCTTAGCATCAGGGGACCGTTAACGCCAAAGCCGGAGATGTAATGAGTCCGGTGACAAGAGCTGTGATTTCCCATAAATCAATGGGGGGGGGGGAAGCAGTTGAAGTGAAGAAGGGTCTGTTGTAAGGGTGGCGTCACTTAGCCTTATAAAATTCCACCGCAGTTCGGGTTGGAATACAATGCTCTAACTTTTTAAAAATGGTGTGTGTGTGTGTGTGTGTGTGTGTGTGTGTTTTTAAAAAAGGGAGGCGGTTGTCTTTGGTATGCCTGCAGAGGCTGCCTTTCGAAAGCCAGAACTTTGGCCCTCCGCACTTTCTGGAAAGTGAAGTCGTGAGAAGGGAGAAAGGAGCCATTGTTTTGCAGGGGATTCTGGGCTTCAGAGACCCTGGTCCATTGCTCTAGCTAAACTTCCGCAACTCTTGAGGCATTTAGCTCTCCTGATCTTCAAAAGTCATCGTGTAAAGTGGATGACATCACTTTCTGGAACTCCCATTATGACATTCCCATTATTTCTGATCTTTGGGGGCACGGTGCCATTACATATGCTTCCAAAATCACTCCGCAGGGAACTCTGGGAATTGTAGCTCTCGGGGGGGGGGGGAAATAGGAGCCTCCTAAAGATTCCCAGCACCCTTACAAAACTATAGTTCTCAGCATTGGGGGGAGGAAGCCAGGATGGTTTGAAGTGGCATGATTCAGCTTTAAATGTAAGGAGCTGATTTGGGCTATGTTAGAATGTGCCTCCATGTTTGCTCCTTTAATTAACTTCTTATTACTTTGCATTTATTATACATATAGATAATGAAACATGTTTCTTAGGAATGTAGATTGATCAGTTCTAATATGCTGGAGCACAAATGATAGAACCATGCCCTTGTTTTCTTCTCTCTTATTTCTAAAATAATAAATCGTTATTTCTAAACTTTTAGATTTAGTTTTCTTTAAAAAGAACGATCTGTCGCCTCAGTAAGGTAATGCGCCGCTTGGCCCTTAGAGTACGCCTGATGCTCTTTTAAGGGGAAACAGAATGCCTGATTCAGCCAAAGGCTGACCATAATATGCAAGTGACGCACCACAGTTATTCGATTTACATTGTGAAATCCACATTTCTGCTTTAATGGATTAGTGCAATGCTGGTACATGTGAGTGTGGACAAATATGCAGAAATACAGAATTGAGTTGTACATGCCGCAACTTGATTCTTTGGCTCCGCAGGCCTGTTATCTGCTGAGTATCAGTTTCCTCCTAGGACCCGATGACAAGTGTGGTGCTTGTGGATAAATTTGCTTCTCGCTGGCCCAGTTCCTGTTCCTGTGATCTTGGCTTTCTCCCTGGATCTGACTCGTTCCTGACAGGATGCAGATAAAGAGTGCTCTCTCTCTCCCTAAGACAAGCACGGCCATTGGCTGATATGCATTTAAGCCATGCTGGTATACAAAACTGCTATTCATATCAGCGATCATAGACAGCATCAGGTTTTGTTTTGATTTTAATCTGTATTGCACCCACTGTTTCCTTCCTTCTTAGATTTCCATTTTCTTCCCAAGATGTGCCAAGAACGCTGCAGTGACCGGTCTCGGCAAAGAATGCTGCGAAGCCTTCTTCATCCTGGGTGGCCCATAAACATCTCCTTTTACGCTGTCTTCCTTGTCATCCCCCGTGGAGACGGAACCGATATGGTTACTAATTTCAGGCCAAGAGGCACGACTGATGAACCAGACTTTAAGGTCACTTCAGAGCACTGTGCCG